CGTTGAGGAGGGGGGGGGGCCTCGGCCGCCAAACACCGGCCCGTCGTTGTTTGAGCCAGTCGCCGGACCAGGACGCGTCGATCGTTTCTCCCCCTCCAGACCAACAAACTGTTACACACAATGGAACACGGCTCTCTCATTCGCGATTCTTGAACGGTTCACATGCTTCTTCTTGTGGCTGATGCTTACCTGAGATGGACGTTCATGAGCCACACGCGGCACATCATCCTCGACTTCCAGATTCCCAGAGCGGATAGCTTGAGGGAGTATGTGCTCTGGTTACAGTGGGCTCTGTGCATCAGGGTCTTCTGTGGCCGGGCGATCGCTGCATTCCCCGCGTCCTGGAGGGGTTTTTTGATACCGCTGATCCTCCAACTTTACCATGGCACAAGCGCGCCGCGGGATGGATTTCGCGCAAGGCTCTAGGAGGACGATAGCCCGTAAAGACCGTAATGGAGGGGGGCGTGCTCGGTGTGGTTCGGCGCCATTTCACCGCCTGGGGGTCTCGTCCACTCCGGCCAACGTCCGTCAAGTATCTGCGAGGTACGCAGGTGAAATGGCGGAGGGAAGGGAGATGGGGGGGGGGGGACTAAACCGTTCATCGCTCTTAGTTGGTCTCCGTTTCTGACAACCCCCAAACCAGCCGAACCGTATTTCGGACCAATCTTTTGACAGCACGACGCAGAGTCTAAAAAGGCGAGCAACTGAACTGACTCTTGACGGTGGGCAAGACACGTACATGATCGTCTCAAGTTCGCCATCTTTCCCACGCGAGCGACGACGACGTTTGGTGGGTGAGTGGCAGCTCAAGCACACACGAACAAGAACGTGTATGCGCTGAGCCGACTCGGGCATTACCGAGAATACGCAGCTGCCGACTCATTCAACCACATTGCACCATCCCGTATGAAACGGCCTGAATCAGTCCCCGCCGGATCTTCAACAAAGCATTCAAGCGCAACGACCGCAAGGCCAAGGCACGGCGCCCTCCTTGGACTGTGTGTCCTCTTGTCCTTCGGCTTGACTCCGTTGCGTTCGTCATCTCAAGATTTTTCCTTCTGGTGCTTTTCCGCTTCGGCTCGGTACAGAGCCTGTAACAAGGGAAAAGCTTCGCACAGGTACGGCGGTTGATTGTTCTTCATCAGGGAGTCATGGACTCGTCGGAATGTTCAAGATTTCGAGTCATCGAATCATTCCCAAGACCTCCTCGGAGTTGCTCCGGGTTTACCTTGGCGTTTCTTCGACGGCGTTTCTAGAATGGATTTGATTGAGCCGTTGGGGGGGGCGGATACTCTCGCGCCCGTTGTCTTTTCCCTCCCTTGGCTTAATCTCTCTCGTTGATGTTAAACCTGTTGACCGTCCAGTCCCCGCAAGTGACAGTCCGTTCCGGGTGATGCACAGGTCATGCTGCCGTCTGCCGGGTCACTCGCGCGGCGCTTCTCCCGTAATGACCAAGGCTGTTTCTGAGCCGTACCGCCTTTTGCGACGGGCCGCGCCTGACGACGCACGCAATTCAGTCGGTGTAGGTCGGGACCACGCCTGGCTAGGGGGCCAAGTTACACTGCAATCGCGGGGAAAGCAGGGTCGCACATGTCAAAGGATCTCGATTGCGGCTTATCGCTGCGAATCACCTGGTCTGCGAGAGGTGACCAATCCTCGGTGAGGGAGCTGGGATCAAGGATTCCTCCTCTTCCCGTGGACGGTCACGAGGACGTGGTGCCTGGCTGGTGCCGGGCTGGCACTGGCTTTGCACGTAAATAGACGGAACTTGTCAACAATAGAGTAGGCGATTATATGAGCAAGGCGGGAATAAGATAAGTGCTCAGTGGTCAAGGCTGAACGGTCGCAGTTGTGGCATGTCCGCATGACAGCGCCTTGCCGGCCGGCAGGGCTGTATCATAGGGACGCGTGAGTGTGATTGTGACCTTGCTCCCTGCCCGACTCACCTAAAGGTTATCTGATACAGCATTACGGATGACAAGCTGCACCAGAAACATTTGTTGGGCACATTTGTTTTATGCAAGCGCTCCCGCACCGCCGTCCGTAATCTTCGAATAGGTTGCGGCGAGGTATTCTCCTGTTCAGCGGCATTCCTCGCGTCGGCTGCGGCGACTACTGGCGATCTTGCACGCTTGTAGGGGATGGAAACTCTCCGCGGAGTACAAGATCTACAGAGGCAGAGAGGGGGTCTGAGGGGGTGCGTTGAAAGAAACATCCAAGGCCCCAAGGCTGCTGAAAACTGAAAACCCCCGAGAAGAAACCCTGCCGGTCTGGTGGTCTGGTTGGCTGGCCGCCGCGGAGTACTTTCGTCTCTCCTAATCAGTCAAGCCGTGTATATCACTACGTAACTAGGTAATCGGGGCGTGAAGGGACATGAACGGTAGCGTGCCACATTGCAAGGCACACGATGCAAGGCGGAGCCGCTCCGTCGAGCGAATGAGAGGGGAATCTGGCGCCGTCTTTCGCTCCGTCGCGAGTCGGTCTCACGGATGGCGATGCGACGCGGCGAATGTTGAACGGAGCTTGCGGAGCTCGCAGATGGCCCTACGGGGCGGCTCATTATCTGTTCAGGGAACCACGCCAAAGACTAAAGTACCATTACGGAGTCCTTTTGCAAGATGCTAGATCAACAGCTTGCCAAAACGGTTCCAGGGACAGTTCGGGACAGCTATTTTGCCACGGAAAGGATTAAAACAACTTCTTCTGCCTTGTCAGAGACGCGGCGCGAGACCCGGCTTGGTGGCCATGACGTCAGTGTGTCGGGTACGCGGTGATGCGCCCCTCCCGCCGCAGACCGCAGATGGATCCCCCTGTGTGCGCCCCCGTCGCCGCGGGCCGGGCAGTTCAAGAACACGGCTAAGGTAGGTGACGGCATGGTTTGGTTTGTGGTTCCCGCTTCGGAGGCGACGTTTTCAGGGTTTCTTGGTGAGGGCTTGTAGAACTACGAAGTGTGTGATGACATCAGTGTTATACGCAGTAGAAGTCGCGCACCGGGATCATGAATCTGCAGCTGAGATTTTGTGAGAGGAGCATTTTCCCCCTCTTACCGTGTTTTCCGTTTCGTGGGGAACTGGCGGGCGGGCGCGTCAGTTGCAGCGGGTTGCGAGGAACCCGGATTTCTGGTAGAGCTTAACGGGAACGGGGGGCGAGTTTATTTGGCAATGACATGATGGTTGAGTAGTCTAATCGTAATTCGCAGGGCAAAAGTATACCCGGCGCTTATGTTGCGTTCCTGACGTGATTTACAGTGTTGGGCTGGACATTGTGTGCCACATGGCTTTGAGGGTTTGCGGAAGAGTTCCGTCGAGTAATCCCCCCCACGTCATTGGTGCTGATCATGCTACTTTGGCAGCAAAGTCCTGAGAGGAATGCGCTAGAATTGGAGATACGACTCAGCAGTTTGCATGATGAGATTGATGGTGTCGCCTCGCGCGGTGCTACGGTTTACTAGAGGAGGTAACCCCGTCTCGTGATGATTTGGAGGAATTAGACGGCGGTAGGCGGTGCTGGAAGCCTTTCGCTGGTGCTGACGCCGATCGGAGCGCATTCCGGAGAGGGGCACTGGGCTGGGGGGGGGGGGGGGGGTAAATTGCATTGCCAGGACGAGGCGGCACGATGCTTCTCTGCACTCTAACTAAGACTTTGCCTCGCCATCATGAAAATAGCAGCTGGATCGTGGGGGACGCAACAAGTAGAGTAGGCACGGAAAAAGCTGCGACGAACTCGGACCAGGTGCTCCGTGGCTGGGAGACAGGCAGCGTTAATGCATTCTTCAGGTTCGTCTGCAGCGCAAGACGATGGAATACCCGCCGAGACCGTGCCTCGCGCAGTGCTTTGAAACCCCAGAACCTTCTGTGGAATCCGTGCCGAATCTAATCGGCGCAATCGACGACAAACTGGAGTGGGAATTTTGAGGCAGGATTACAAAAAAACGGTGCGGTGGGGCCTTTGGACATGCCTTCATTCCTTGGTTTCTCCATGTTCTTAGTGCAGCCGGAAAGTTCGGTCGGGGGATATCACGCTGTATTAATGGTCGGCGAGCCTCGGAGCTGGATGGCTTCGCAAGTGGGCCCGATGGACGGATCGGGCGGATCGGAGGAGTGGAGGGTCGGCGAGCGGAGGAGTGGGGACGTGGACGCACCGGCGGGCTCCGTTTCGCCGTCGGAAGGGACGGCAGATGCAGAGTTCACGAAGCCTGCCAGGTCTCCCATTGTCGCCTTCAGCTTCCTCATTCCTTCCACCGTTTCTAGGTTCTCAGGATCAGGATAGCACCGTTTGCTGAGTTGTCCTCCCAATGCGCTGGCCGCCTCGCAGAGTCGGATGTCCGGTGCTCGGACGCGCTCCTGCCAGCCGGAGGCCTGTCACTGTTTCGACGTGTCCAACATCAGCCGCGCGTCGGCTGCAGAGTCCGGGGTAAAGATTGAAATGGCAGGCTGGGGAGATGTTGAGGAGAGCCAGTGCGTCGGGGTCTCCGAGTGCTTGTTTCGGTTGATGGGCTTTTGTTGAAACTTGCTCAGATTACGTGGTTGTCGACGATGGGGTTTGGCTTCAACTCGCCAGTTTTGGATCATCAACTAACAGACGATTGATTCATATATGCAACTTCTTGAGCCTCAAGGTCCTGGCGATGAAAGCCTACGCCATCTGGCCAGTTGGCCATACCATACGTCGCAGGTACTCGTCTGCCAGGTTTAAGGGCATCGCGAGGGCGTAGGTTTGGTGGGACGCCTTCCCGACTTTACCCAAACCACGTAGGTAGGTCATCCTCTAAGACGGTTCAGCATCAACTCAACCATGGTGATGGGCCATTTGGGTTGGAGCGTATCAGACAGCAGAAGCATACGCAATTGGGAAAACAACGATAACATGATAAATGGCTTGCTAGTAGCTCATATGATCGCGATCTTGACGCCGGACCCAATCGGTGAAAATGACTTGCTGAAATGTCGCTCGGTACATGCTGACAAAGGGAATAACCTCCCTGCTACTACGCGGGAGCCTTACTCCTTCTTCTCCTTCTTGCCCTCCTTGTCGTCCTTGTCCTTCTTCTCGCCCTTGGCCTCGTCCTTCTTGTCTTCCTTCTCAGTATCCTTCTTCTCATCCTTGCTGTCATCCTCTTCGCCACTAGACTTCTCTTCTTTGCCCTTGGACTTCTCCTTCTTCTCATCCTTGCCTTCGTCGCTCTTCTCGTCCTCGGAGCCATCCTTGGACTCATCCTTGGACTCCGACTCAGAGTTTGACTCATCCTCTTCAGAGTCGTCCTTTTTTTCGTCCGAGTCGTCCTTCTTCTCAGCGCCCTTTTCCTCCTTCTTGCTCTTGCCGCCCTTCTTAGCCTTCTTCTCTTCCTTCTTCTTCTTTTCCTCCTTCTCCTTCTTGATCCTCTCACGCTCCTCCTCCTCCAACTTGTCCCAATCGCGGGACTTGTCGGTCTTGGCCCAGTGTTTGCTCTCGGCAAGTTCTTGACCAATGTGAGGCTGAGCGTTTCCAATCTTGGTGCGGCCAACCAAGCTGATGAAGATAGAGACACCAACTATGGCAGTCAAGATGAAGCGGTATGTTCCGTACCACTGCGGGGTCCAGCCCCTGTTCTTCGCACGAGTGTCTGCGAGATAGAGGAAGGTGAATGCACCGAATTGGGCAGTTAGGGCATATTCGATCGGCATGAGGAGAGTCGGCCAGGCGAGCATGGGAGCGAGAACACCCATGCCGTAGCGGAACTTTGTACGAGTCGCCGAAGGGGTCTTTTCGGAGTATTCCATTCCCTGCAACTTGGTTAATCTTTCTGCTCCAATATTGGGGTGGTGCGCTTGGGCTTACCCAGTGAACAGCGCCGAGGAAGGAGATGATGATGGCTCCGTAGCCAAGTTGAATGGGCTCAAGCAAGCTGAGCCAGTACTGCGCAGACTCCTGGTTCATGTAGATGTTGTTTGCAAAGGTCGAAGTCGACGGCCACTCAAGATTGATATCCCAGCTGAGATACATGGTGCTCAACGAAGTTGCCAGGTAGGGCAGGGTGCCAGCCAGACCAAGAGCATACGGTTCCCTGGGAACTTCGCTCAAGTTAAAAGTGTCTTTGACGATGTTCTGGAAGACCTTTGTCAGTGGTTGAAACTGATGGATCGCGGATGTGGACGCACCAATTCCTCTTTCAATCCCTTTTGGAGATCCTGGTCGCGCTCGGGATTGGCAGGCGCAGGCTCAAAGACATGGCGCGTTGAGGACTCGGTCGAGACGTGCTCCGGATCCGATTCGAGCTTCTTCTTTGCTATCTCTGCCTCGGCTTTCTTGTCGATCTTGTCATACGGAGAGTTTGTGTAGCGGGCAACGAGTGACAGCGGGGAGAGCCGGGCTTGGAGAGCCACCGAAGGCCTCCTGGAGCTTTGAAGAGCAGAGGGCGAGGCTCTCGTGGAGAAGGAGGCGGGAGAAGCTGCTGAAGGAGCCGCCGCTGAGCGCGGGGCCAGACGCAAAAGCTGTCGCGAGGAGCGAAGCATCGTGAAGGTGGTCGGTTCTTTCAGGAGCGATAGAAGAGGAAAGTGAGAGTCTTGGAAGGTCGAACGCGTTGATCGTGTACCCGGATGTCTGTCAATTGGGCAATTGCTTCTAACAGCGGATAAAAAACGTGTTCAGTCGCTGGTGCAGGTTTTGGGGAAATGACGAGCCAAGCAGTGAAGAAGGAATTTATTTGAGTGTCTCGTCTCTAGACCAAGGCCCGGCAGGGTAGCTGCCGATTGCTTCACATTGATGTAAGGCAAGTCCCGCCCATCGGATAACTGGCACGGCAGAAGCAGGGCAGCAACAGCAGCTTTCCCCTCTGCTTTTCGATCAAGGCCGATCTAATTAGGTGGTCCAGCCATCCAGCCATCCAGCCAGGCCTGGCCCAGCCCATCCGGTATCACAGGGCAGCCGGAACACAGCTGCTACTGCTCCTGCTACTGCTGCTGCTACTGCTGCAGCGATGGAGGTGCGCACCTGGCTGGGAGCTCTGGATTCGCGCTGGTCGTGGTGACGTAATGTGGAGACCTGGCCCATGTCCACGCCCGGGCCAGAGGCTCCGCATTGGACGAACAGCTGCCGGGGTGGGTGTGACATTAGTAGAGAATAGCCCAAGCTTCTCCAGTCTGCTGCCTGGTGGGAATGTTTAGCTGCCACTGCTCGCCGCGGGGTGGTCGGTAAAATCATCGAAAAATCTTACAATTCAATATGAGTGTTGGATTATATGACGGCGTCTTTGGTCGATTTTGGAAAATTGTTCGAGGAAGTTGTGAGGCCTACTTGCAGCCGCCTCATGTGCCCCTTCCCAGCCGACAAGAGTACGTGCCCCGCGGCGCTAACTGCTTCCAGCAAAGCTGCAGTAGACCTACCCCACCGTGGCTCAACGCTTCGAGCGCCACAGTCTGGGCCAAGCTGGCGGCCTGTTTTTGGCACTGCACTGCGGGGGAGAATCGAGAATCAGGCAGCGTCATCATGCACAAGCACCCAGCTCGACACCAAACCCCAACCCTGTCGCTCGTTGCCTTCCAGCCCCAACATCGCACGCAACATACCTGCCGACAAATCTGTCCTTGTCGAGGTCGACGTTATACAGTTCCTCGACTTGGCAACTTTCGCTTAGTTGTCATCCCACCTCCGGAGACACGGCGAGCGGCACACGGCAGCACGCCCCATCGACGAGCCACCGTCGACATTACCTGTCCCTCGGAGAAAAAAAAAAAAGATACCCAGCCCAATATTATCACGACTACGACCTGATTCACGACCCCCGTCTCCCATATCCCGAATCCGACTATCCTTTCATGCCCGCAGAGCCCCTCCGGACCTGACCCGCCTGCCCCGATCGAGCTCTACGGCCCTCCGACGCTCTCCCTCCCTATCCATGCCTCTAACGGCGGCACCACGATAGATACCCAACACTGAGTTTCCCTCGCCAGGGTCACGGCGCCATACATACACCATGTTGGAGGGACTCGTTGCCGGCCTGCTCAACAGGTTTCTGGGCATGTACGTCAAGAACTTCGACCCAGCACAGCTCAAGGTCGGTATCTGGTCTGGCGATGTCAAGCTCAGGAACCTCGAGCTGCGGAGGGAGGCCCTCGACCAGCTGAAGCTTCCCATCAATGTCATGGAAGGCCACCTCGGCGAGTTGACCCTCATCATCCCGTGGTCCAACCTCCGTGGAGCCCCCGTCAAGGTCTTTATCGAAGATGTCTTCCTGCTTGCCTCTCCAAGGGAGGAAGCTGCCTACGATGAGGACGAGGAGGAGCGCAGAAAACAGAGAATCAAGATGGAGAAACTCGACTCGGCCGAACTCCTCAAAGAGAGATCACAAGAGGGCATGAGCCAAGAGGAGCAGCAAAAGAGCCAGAGCTTCACGCAGAGCCTGGTCACCAAGATCGTCGACAACCTGCAAGTCACGGTCAAGAACATCCACATCAGATACGAAGACTCCATCTCTGCACCTGGCCACCCCTTTGCTCTTGGTGTCACGCTGGAGGAGTTCAGCGCGATCAGTACCAACGGCGAGTGGAAACCAACCTTCATCCAAGATTCCACCAAGAGCACCCACAAGCTCGCCACCCTCGGCGCCCTTGCTGTCTACTGGAACACAGACACAGAGCTGCTTGGCCCGGGACGAGAGATCACCACCGACGACGACGAGCCCATGCCCCACGACGAGATGGTTAGCAAGTTTAAGAGCTTGATTGGGTCGACAGAGGATACGAAGCTCAACCACCAATTCATCCTACGTCCTGTCAACGGAAAGGCTAAGATAGTTCTCGACAAGACGGGTGACATTCACGTACCCAAAGCCAAGGCAAGCTTGCTATTCGAGGAGATCGGCCTGGTCATCGATGACGACCAATACCGTGATGGCCTGATGATGGTGGACCTCTTCCATTACTTCATCCGACACCAGGAATACAAGAAGTTCCAGCCAAAGGGCGTCACACCAAAGGAGGATCCCAGAGCATGGCTCAAGTTCGCCGGAGATGCGGTGCTCAGCAAGATTCACGAGAAGAACCGCAGGTGGTCATGGGACTACTTCCGCGAACGGCGCGACGATCGCAAGCGCTACATCGAGCTGTTCAAGAAGAGGAAACAGCAGCAACAGCTGTCCTCGCAAGAAGGCGACGACATTACCAAACTCGAGTGGAAGCTCGACTACGAAGACTTGCGGTTCTGGCGATCCTTGGCACGAAACCAACTCAAAAAGGAGAACGCTGAAGCCCTAAAAAAACAGCCCTCTAAGCAACAACAACAAGGCTGGGTGTCCTGGGTCTGGGGTGGCGGCGCGAAGCAACCGGAACCTCAGAACGACGACGAGAACACGCAGATCACAGAGGAGCAACGCAAAGAGCTTTACGACGCTATCGATTGGGACGAGAAGACAGCTATCGCCGAATCCGTTGACGTACCTCGAGACACCGTCAAGATGCAGGTTGAAGCATGGCTGAGCACAGGAAGCTTCACTCTCAAGAAAAGCCACAATGGCAAAAGAAGTGACCTCCTTAGTCTTCACTTCGACGTGTTCAAGGCCAAGGTCTTACAACGCCCCGACTCTTTCCTTGCCGACGTCAGCCTGGGTGGCCTCCGTGTCAACGATGGCACCACTCCCGACTCCCTCTTCCCCGAGATTGTTCGCGTCAAGGATGCACCTGAAGTCCACGAGCACAAACAGCTGACCATTGAAGAGTTGGAGGACAACGAGGATGAACCCTTCTTCCACTTCGAGGTTGAACAGAACCCTATCGATAAGGAGGGCGACATAGCACTGTCCGGCTCTCTCAAACCTTTGGAGATTGTGTGGAACCCGAACTTCGTGGTTGGCGTTGCCGACTTCTTCAGACCTCCAGAGAGGCACATGGAGTCCATCACCGCCCTCATGGAGACCGCCGGTGCCACGGTAGAAACCTTCAGGGAGCAGACACGGGCTGGTCTTGAGTTCGCCCTCGAGGAACACAAGACCATCAACGCCCAGCTCGACCTTCAGGCCCCTCTCATTATCGTACCAGTCAGCATTAACGTCAAGGAGTCCACTTGTCTGATTCTGGATGCCGGTCACATCAGCGTCAACAGCGAACTGGTTGATCAAAACACCATGAAGCAGATCCAATCCAAACAGCGACAATCATACACGGACGAAGACTTCAAGCGGTTGGAGTCCGTCATGTACGACAAATTCTTGGTCAAGCTCTCCTCCACTCAGGTACTGATAGGACCATCCATCGAGGTTACAAAGGCTCAGCTAGCCGAGAAAGATGACACACAACATCTCCATGTGGTGGAGCGCATCAATGTCGACTTTGTGGTTGAAACTTCTATCCTCCCCAAGGCTCCAAACTTGACCAAGCTCAAGGTGTCCGGCCACTTGCCGCTACTGCACGCAACCGTGTCGGATACCAAGTACAAGAACTTGATGCGGATCATTGACGTCGCCATCCCCAAGTTCAACCAGGATAACGATCAACCGGAGCAGATCAAAGACTCACAGAGCTCCGCTGTGACGACTAGACCTCGTGGCTTGAGCACCGCATCGACTCGATCTCGCTCTCGTAAAGAGTCTTCCCGCCGCAAATCAGCACAATTCCCCTTCATGCAGCAACAGACTGCGATTGTGATTGACGACGATGACGAAGACAGTGATGAGTTCGAGGATGCCGACGGCGGCCGAGACAATAAGGAACAGCTCAAGCTACAGCAGCGCTCTTTCGAGTTCAAGTTCAAGGTCGATACCCTCAAGGGCTCTCTATACCGTAGTGACCCAGACAAAAAGAAGCCCGACGCGCTACTTGTCGAGCTTGTCGCCGAAAACTTTGATCTTCTGTTCTACCTGCGACCATACGACATGTCAGCTGAAGTGTCTCTTGGGTCGGTCACTATCGATGATTTCGTCGACAATCCCTCGGCGGAGTTCAAGTCGATCGTGTCATCAGGGGACCCTGATGATCACGAGCAGAACCGCAGTCTCGTTAGTGTGAAATTCACAAAGGTTAATCGCCTTTCACCAGAGTTCATGCCAGTGTACGAAGGCGTGGAGACGAACGTCACAGCTGCGATCTCCACCATCAATCTAGTCGTGACTCGGAAAACGCTCTTGACTCTGTTGGACTTCATCTTGGCAACATTCACCGGTAACAACAACGAAGCGGCAACGCCTCAAGAGCAGAAGGCAATTTCCGATTCGGAGGATGACAGCGAGGAAGATGTCGAGATCGCAATCGACAGCCCCCCTGAGGATGCACCTGCAAATTCAGGCTCGATCAGGGTCAAGGTGGACCTTAAGAGTATCCGGCTGATCCTCAACAATGACGGAATTCGCTTGGCTACGTTGTCTTTCAACCACGCCGACGTCGGGGTTTTCCTCTTGGGCAAGACAATGCGGGTGAATGCCAAGCTGGGCAACCTCAACTTGGTCGACGACATTAACCAAGGCGTATCCGAGGGGTCTAACTTGAGGCAACTCATCTCCATCCAAGGTGACGAACTGGCTGAT